ATGTACTGACTGTCACATACATGTACTGACTGTTACATACATGTACTGACTGTTACATACATGTACTTACTGTCACATACATGTACTGACTGTCATATACATGTACTCACTGTCACATACATGTACTCACTGTCACATACGCACCATTTTATTTTGGTTAGAGATCAAGTCAAGTGATCAACTAAATTTAATATAATTCATTTGATTTTGTTTTTAAGAGAAGCATAAACAATTAATAGAATATAATAATTCACTGATTAATAAATACAATAGTGTGAATTTTCATCTAAGGGTTGACATAATTAAATAGTGGTAACATTGACATCTATCATTTACTAATGGCAATAAATAGAAATTTCTCTTCATTCATGCATTTTTGCCAGATTACAGACTAAACTGTGTGGTTACTATGGCAACCATTGTGCTACATGTATTTCATCAGAATGTTAGTAACTTAGATTTGTGGATCACAGTGAGAGAATTTCTAAATATATTTCTGTTTCACAATAATTCTATTAAGGAATGAAATAACCGCAAGCCTTGAATACTACACAGCAATGTGTCAACTCACACATCAATATTTCAAAGCATAACACTTTTCTTTTGTTGCAGATTATCAAACATACACTGACAAATGCAACACTGAAACGTGAATGGCAGAATTTGTATGGCAGATATTTTGTAACTAATTTCTGGCAGCAAAATCTTCCTTTTTTGTCCCTCTTTTGAAATCTACTTTGCTATCTGTGTGACATTCACTTTGCAAGCCCCTCTACACACCCATGTCATTACTAAGATTTGTGAAATAGACTTCTAGGATTTAGATTTCAATGGAAAACAATTCAAAGTGTAAAAAAAAAGAAGACATTATTGATTATCTAATGCCTCATTTAAGTACACACATTCAAGTAGCATGGGAGGTAAAAAGATGTGGATATTACTATGCTTAGTTTTTCTGTGCACTGTCAGGTGACATTAACTGACAGGGGATTATTCAAATGTAACCTTTATGTTTACGCCTTTGCCCTCCAGTTATCGTTGGATTATCAAGAAAAACTCAAAAGATATGCAAAAAATCATTATTAATTTGGCAGACGATTAGTGAAATTATAATCATAGTTGTAAATTGTATAACAATAGTTATGTTTTGTATCTGAGAACAGGATCTCTCATCAGAGATGTAGCACTTCCAAGTCATCATCTTTGTTCTATTTTAATAAGTCATACAAAATGGGCTGATTAAGTGATTTGTTATTTGTAGTAAATATCTGTTATATTACACAAACCAACAAACTTGATTTGACAAATTAGTCACTAAAAGCAGATAATCTGTAATTCAACAATTCTATTCGAAAAATGTTGCTTATGTACCACTGTAAATTCAATTTCCTTAATCAAAACAAACATTGCCCAATCACAGAACCACATGAGGTCATGTGACCTAAAAATGAAATGTCTAATACATCTCCAAGCTAACCAAACACTATCACGCACACAATCATGTGGCCTGTGCATATATGTAGAGGTTATATAAGATAAACATCTAAACTAGTGAATGTTAAATTCTTATGGTTTCTTTAAAAGTACTGAGTAAATTTGAATCTGTCAAAGTGACCAACACTTGCAAGGTTGCAGAAAAGAAAAAAACCCAGGCCAAAAAAAAAAAAAAAACTTGGGTCTTTTTTGAATGTTAAGAGTGGTAATTTGTATGGTGGCTCATAGTGTTTCCATTTTTCAGAATACTGTAGAATATTGTCATTGCTAAAACAATAAGATGCTGTGAGTATCACAGTATAAACCCATGTATGAATGATTGGTCAAATAATACACATCAAGTCATATTATTGTAAAACCAGTATGAGTGTGTGCCTTTTAGAAACAAAAAAATTCTTGACTCACCCCACCTACCTCCTCAAATTTTTTGGTAATCATTTCAAATGCATTGTTTATTGCCTCTGTTGACCCTGTTACTGTGACGATGCGTTCTGCACATGAACTATCTGATATGTTAATTCTGGCACCGCTCTGTAGACAAAAACACATATCACATATCTTAATTCTGGCATAATATAATTGGAGTAAAGAAATAGCCAACACTAATCATATTATATTAATTATATTAGGCCCAATAAAAACTGCCCTATTCAGATATAATTGAGATACTTGCATTCCAGCTCAACGAGTGTTGGTAGAGACTCCTTTATCTCACATAAAAATAAGATGGAAAACAGAATATGCAATAAATTTCATATGAAAATGTTTGTAGCGAATATATATTAAAGTGTTAGACTATCTGGTTAGTGCTACTAGTCGATGCCATTGTCAACAAATTAGCATACTCATTTTAATATTTTGGGAAAGGGTATCACAGTTTAGGTTAGACAATTAGAATAACCTTAGATATTTTACAGGTTCCTAACAACATATGCTGAAATGTCTCAGCAGTTCACATAATGTAGCTGCAATGCTAAAGCGACCGGTAACATTACACAAACTAATCAAAATTATTAAAATTTATTTTAACAAATGTCAACAAATATCCACAAATAAATGCAATCTTATACATACAATTATCAAGTAATACTTTATAAGTTAGTCAATTAGATGATGAATTGAAATTGCTAGATTTTAATTATTGAATGCAAGTTGTGATTATTGGAAGCATTTCATAGAAATTTAAAGCCTCATTAAACATTTTTATTTTTTTGTGATCGCCTGACATGCAACACTCGATTGCACATAACAATTTTACATGCATAGAATAAAACCCACCAAAAGAGGGCAACGTTGCGACAAAAAAAGGCATTATCACTGATGAATTGACATTTTAACACAACACTGGAGGGCGGTCACAACATTAGAGGACAATCTCAACACTAGAGGGCAGTCTTAACACTAGAGGGCAATCTCAAAACTAGATTGGCTGGTTCCCGCCTCAAGTGTCATGGCGTACCAAGCCACAAGAGGCCGGTAACTAGTAACGGTTCTGGCATTCTGATTGGTACATCACTTTCTCGTTGCTTGTTCCATTTCCCTTAGTTACCTGACGTCAGCGCTTACGCTCGTGGCCGTTCAGGGGTTTCCTTTTGCTTTCGAAAGTTGGGCGAATAAAAAGAATTGTTTCTTTTGTTATAAATTTGCACAGAACATATCAAATCTGTAAATCTAAGCAGGCAGTATGTATGAGCATGGCTTTATTGTAGCATTACAGACACGTTTACGCAAAACGGAACTTGGAATGTTTTCAAATTACGTCACCCAGTCGCGTTCCTTCCGGCCGGAAAACCGGCCCAAATGGAACAATATGGCGATTACTAGTTACCTGCGTCCTACCTGCCATTCGCAAAGGACGCCGGGAACCAGCGAAAAAACTAGAGGGCAGTCTTAACACTAGAGGGCAGTCTCAACACTAGAGGGCGGTCTCAAAACTAGAGGACGGTCTCAACATAAGGCGGCGGTCACAACAACAGAGGGCGGTCACAACTATAGAGGGTGGTCCCAACACTAGAGGGCAGTCTCAACACTAGTGGGCATTCACAACGCTAGAGGGCGGTCTCAACACAAGAGGGCAGTCTCAACATAAGGGGAGGTCACAACAACAGAGGGCAGTCACAACAGCAGAGGGTGGTCAAAAAACTACAGGGCAATATTTCATAATTGTTGACTAATGGTTTACATCTCATTATAAGCATGTACAAATTGCTAAATTAGAAGGATTCATGAAAGATATAGTAGTTTATTGATTTCTTTAGAAAACATGTCTGATATCAATCCACCACTACACAATGGTTGATATAGACAGGTCTTAGCTGTGACACTATAATTCATTTCATTCTATAAATATCATTTCAGCTAGATTACTGTTAAATAAACTTACCTGTTCTCGAAATTTCTTGATTGTCTCGCCACCCTTTAAAATTAAAACAAAGGAAAACAAATTATTATAGACATTTTAAAGGTTAATTTC